CTATCTGATTGCAATTACTTCACAAGGCTTAAGTTCTTGCTTCTCTAATGTACTAAGGCAACACAATCCTTTTTAGAAAAGTATTTCTAATGAATAACTGCGGAACTTAACCACTGTCACAAATACAGAGAAAAACACATCTGTAAAGCTCTGCTTTTCCTCTTTTAGAAGGCTTTTATTCCAGGGACCTTTGGGTGCTTATCCTGTGCTACTGAATTACAGCATGAGGTTCGACTGTCCCAACCCCAACCAGGTTGCCAAGCTTCAGGAAGACTGAGCTATCTAAGTGATTACTAATCTCTGCTAAAAGGAAACCATCATTTCAACTGGGTTTCAGGAAAATAGCCCAAAAGGGATAAGAGCTGGACTAGAACATCTCTCCATGAACTCATATACTTTCAAAAGAAAAAGCAGCTCAGGAAGACATTAAGGAGTCTCAAACCTTTCGTATTTCTGAAATTTCAAAATTAAATCATACATATTTTTAAAAACTCTTACACAAGGCCGAAAACATGGCCCTATGATTAAAGCAGTGGCTGCTCTTGCAGAGAACCTGGGTTTAGTTCCCAGCATCTACATGACATCTAACAGCCACCTGTAACTGTAGTGCCAGGGTATATGACACCCTCTTCTGACCTCCACAAGTGCTGCACATGTGGACATACCCACCCACATACAGACAGATGCATACATACTCAAAAGTAAAAATAAATCTTTTAAAAGTTTAGAAACTATGCTGAAAACTAAAATTTCCCAACATTAACCGTCCCCAGTTAATTATAACTGATATATTTACCTTCAGCTATTTCGTGTTAATTTGAAATACTTATGATGTGTGTATGAATGTGAATGTGTGTGTGTGCGTGTGCCTGTGTGTGGATGGCTGTGTTCACAATACATCTTCCATGTGACTGATATTCTTCAGTTAATAGAACATCTTGAATATTTTCATGTGCTTAACAAATTCTTCAAAAACCTTGGTTAGTTGTATAATACCTTGTCATGTAAGTATTTTCAAGCTTCTCTAATCACTGTGCTGATGTCAAACAGCTAGTCAATCTCCAATTCCTCTCATCACCAGCCTATGAAATGATGAGATTTATATAAATCTTGTTTCCTTTTCATATTATTTCATTACGTTATGGAATATTCCCTTCTACAATGTGGACATGATTGCTGGACTATCAATTCTTGGTATTTCAAGACACGAAGTGAACGTCATGTGTCAAAATTACTGCAAAAGATAAAGTCTCCAGGTCTCTGAGGACTGTGTAAACACTAGCCCAGCTCTGAATGACCTACACAAATGTCACAGAAGGGGGAAAGTCCACCACTTACAAGTGGTTTAGACTATTTGCAACCAAATATAATAAATCTTTACATTTATTGGAATCAGAATGTCCAGTTTGTCTTTCGGTTTTATTTATACTGGTATTTTATTTATAAACAATTCTTTTGCAGCTGAATTCGCTTTTGCTAGCAAGAAACTCCCTGGTTCTCTAAGCCGCCTTGCAGATTAGTTCAATCACCTGTGAATGCAGTTCAAGGTCACTAGGTAAAGACCATTTTTCCCTTTTCTACTTTTCCTCTTCCCAAGGCCAGTCTTCTTCCTCACAGCAGATCCACCTCTAAACATACCTGATATTTACCTACATACGGAAGGTCAGTCAAAGACTCATAAAAAGACTTTCAGCTCTAGGGTTATGTTAAACTTTCAGTTCCTGACCCAAAGAGTATTTATTTTCTTTAAAAAAACAAAAACAAAAAAGCATTTCATAAATGCACATACAGTTGCCCACAAACATTTTCTGTCAGAAAACTGGAATATATTTTTGGTCTCAGCAAAATCAGTCCTTACTGTGTTTTCAGAAACATATTCTGAAATACTTAACAGTCTATGAAATTCTTTCTAAAATGTATGACCAACCCCATTGTGACCTGAAATATTTATTTTGCAACAACAAAAAAGGTAGCAACAAAGATTTCTTAGGACGTTTTTCAATAAAGAATAAAACCTTTCACGCCTTCAAAAACAGTGTATCTCATTGAACAAATGAGAATTACACATCTTCGGGTTCAGAGGCACCGCCTTCCTCAAGAGCCTTAAAATTGAAAGCTAGCTATCACCTGACTATAAAAGACCACAGACTATAATTTTACATGTACAGACTTCGTATATTTATACATATAGACTTCAAATGAGAGATGACATATTGACTTCCGTTTCTGTGATGTAGCAAATACAGCAATTGATTTTTTTTAAAGATTTGTAAGGTGTTTGATAAATGTACCCTTTTCTTACCCAGCACAGTAGTACAATTCCCTGTTCAGCTTTCAGAATCTTGTAAACAGATTCAAACAGGAATTGTGTCATCAGCAAGAGGAATGCTGGGAAAATAAAAGTAGACCATTAACGTGTATTGTGTCATTCAGCAAAGATATCAACATCTGACTCTTGGAAGTAGGAATTGGCTGTGGTTTCTCAAAATTAATTTACATTCATATATGTAAATGTATGCATGTACAAATTTACATCTACAAATGTAATAAAATCATGGTTTATAGAAGAGGCATTTTCTTGCCATTTTGAAGTCACCAGAATTAAGGGGAAAAGTCTACGCTCATGTACGTGCAACTCTCTCGAGTTGTTCACTAGGTCTGATTTTCATGCAACAGCCTGCACGTGCTTCAGCACGGACAACATGTGGCAGGTTCTCGCTCTTGTAATGATGAATAGGAGGTCTTCTGGTGTCCTCTTGAATCCATTCCTCCTCGAGTTCCATCCTTGAATCCATTCAAATGCAGGAGGGTGGCAAAGGACAGAGCAGGGGTTCGGCTCCTTCCTCCCCCTTCACATCCCCTCTCTGTCCTTTAGGAATGTCACAGCACACGTGAGTGCACATGGAGGCCAGAGCTCAGCCTGTGGTGCCATCCTAAGGAGCACCATCCACCTCCTTTGAGTCCAGGCTTCTGACTGGCCTGGAGCTCTCCAATTAGGCTTCACTGGCTGGCCAAGGAGCCCAGGGATCCAGCTGTCTCTGCCTCCCCACCACGTGCCAGCACCTGTTTTTCACAAGGGTTATGGGTATCGAACCCAGGTCCTCATGCATATTCAGCAAGCACTCTGACTGATCTCTCTCTCTAACCCTCTTACGCTGTCTTGACCTGATAAAACAGACTTTGTCACTAGTTTCCCCTAGGTTAGGCCTAGCAATCATTCGAGACACCTAAGAAATTTACAAAAGCAAGCAGCCCTGTGTGGTGGGTATTGGCTGGGACTTTCCATTCTGAGCTCTATTTAGAGAGAGGTGAGTGATATTTCACTCTCTGCTTTTAAGACTGTGCTAATCACTAGGTTTTAATCCCAGGTCAATGGCACCTGTGTAGTATCCTTACCAAACCATCCCTTCCTGAGTATCATTGGCCTAGCCATATTTTAGTCCATCTTAATACTTTGATTTGAGACATCTGAAGTCCCCAAGATGACGGGACTAGAATCCACATTGCTACATGAGTTTATCACTTTCTCCATTGGAAAATTCTCCACAGGGACAAATGATTCCACTGTGAACACGGAACATCGGAAATTATGCTGGCATTCGAAACAGGGGTTGCCAATATATGGTCAGCCAATTAAAATACGATTCTGTTATTAAAATGTTACTTGGAAAACACTCACAATCTATGTGTTCAGTTCAATGAAACCTCACTTCTGACCAAAGAGAAACAGATGATCATTGTTCTATTTACCTAAAAATTAAGTAAATTTCATCTCAGCATGTATTTAGGTGAATTCACAGGGTACAGTAATTTCACCCACAAGAGGGAGCTTGCCTTTTTATATTTCGTTACAGGATTTGAAGAACCAATTAAATTACGAATTTCTAAAAATGTTTATTAATACCAGCATCAGTGTGTCAAGTTGAGGGTTAGAATAGTCCAATTTCATGTAGCACATTTTTATAGTACATGACATATCGGGATGCCAGAAGATTGGAAAGATAATAGGAATTTTTAAACTTTTGCTAAATCTGCATCTACCATGACTTATTTGGAGGAATGAGCCTGTCACTGCCAAAGTTGTCTGGGAGAAAATGCTTTGTAGTTTGTGCACTAATTGTGCAAAACTGCCTAGAATAATTGTAAGTGCTACAAACCTAAGGTAATTACATAGCAGGAGAAAGTATATTTTAACCATCCTCTTATCAGAAGAGGGTTGTATAAACTGAGACTTTTAAATACATTTATTGGACGGGAAGAAATGCTACTATAAAAATTACAAAGATCACTGTTCTTACCAATATCAGTCCATACTTGCCCGAGCAGCTTTATAACTGCATGGATCCTGATGGATTCTGTCTTAGAGCAGAGAGAGAAATACAATTTTCTTTCAAACAAAGCAAAATAAAAAGCCCAAAGACCCACCAACACTGATTCCCTCTTGCCCTAAAATCTCTTAAAGAACACCTTAAGTTGTTAAGATGAAAATATATGGTGTCTTTAAAAGCCAAATTAACTAATCAACTCAAAATCCATCTTTTTAATAAAAATTTGATAGTCTAGGAATTAATGTCAGTAATTCACCCTCCAGAGCACTCTATTCTGTCACAGAACAGAGACACAGAAATAACCTAACTAAACTGTATGGCGATCCCTCATAAATTTGAAGGAAGGGGACAGTAAGCGTTTGGACCCTCCCCACAGGCCCTCTCAGCTCCTAGAAAACCTTGGATACAGAGCAGGGAGTTGAGGAAGAAAGGGTTAATTAACATTGCCCTTCCTTCTAGAATTCTAAACTGCCCATTGAATCGTTGTTTTTCTTCCCACTAGGGACAGGGAATCTAATGGACCTAAAATCAATACCTTATAAATGACATAAAAATATATTCATTTTATGGACTAATGTACCCGAGTGCCAGAATCCCATTTGCACTCTCTGCTTTCAATAGGAGCAACGGACCCATCTCTGCCAGTAGTGAAAGGTTACTCAGCTGCACTGGCCTCAGCTGCAGAGCGCACTGTCCTCTTAGGTGTGGTACCACGGAGAGATTGGTGGCTGCAAAGCCGCCATTGTGAGAAATCCTCTGCACAGTGCAAGGGGTGGGGACTTCTGTTAGGACCTTCACTGAGAGCCGGGCTCAGGGGGCCAGAGGCTGGTGGCCTTCTGAGGGAGCTTGGAAGGTCTCTGATTCATCATCTTGCTCCGTAACTTACATATCCAGAGGCTGGTGGCCTTCTGAGGGAGCTTGGAAGGTCTCTGATTCATCATCATCTTGCTCCGTAACTTACATACACTGCTTGAGTTCACAGTGAACGGATGTGACGATAATGAACAAACACAACTTCCCTCTGCTTGGGAATTCCATACTGATTTTAAGAACTGGATTAAAAAATAATGGCTCAAGAGGTGGAAAGGTTCACTAATACACACAGAAACCTAGGATGGAATGTAATAGAGGCAGGAGTTCAGGGGAGAAAGAAGGTATTTGATATATCAGAAATCGCATACACCAAAAATAATGACAATAGCAATAATCAAAGGTATTCGTCAGATTTTTTTTTTAGATGTTAAAGAAATAGTTGAGAAACTTTTATATTTACAGAATATTCTCCAAACCAATAGGCCCTGCCTCCTTAACTTCAAAAGCCATTTTTATTATATGCAAAGTGAGATAAGTTTTAAAAATTCTCAACCTACACCGCAACTTTATTTTCTTCCACCTTCAAGATTTTCACATCAAAGAGAGAGGGTGCCTGCCAGGCAAAGAGGGGCAGATACGGCAGGCAGGGCGGGGACAGGAGATTAAAAGCTAAAGGAAGCTCTTTACTTCGGGAACAATGTCACCTGACTCCTTTTTCTGTGATCCTACCTACAAAGCTAAGAAGGGCAGAGTGGTAAATAAGAAAAGTAACTTTAAACCAGATGCTTTTGAGAAAATTCTATCAACAGGTCAGTGTGAGATTCACTGTTCGGTTTTACTGGCTCAAAATCCATATAGTTATAAAATTGCAAAAAAAAAAAAAAAAAAAAGCCCTGTTGTTCTTTATTCCATTTGCCAAGCAGAGCCATTTATCCCCTATTAGATAAAGTATAATAGACTGTACAGAAAGGGTCACTGCCCTTCCATTTAATGATATCGCCAGCCCCGATCTGCATTTTCCCGGCAGTGTCCCTCAACACAGAATAAATGGCTGATCTCTTCACAATAACAGCTGATTTCTATTTATTAAGCTAAAAAGGTCACCATTTTCTACGGCTGGGCCGCCCTGCACTATTGATAATTTTATGCATAAACAAATGGCAAATTTGTGCCACATAAATATGCATTAGCAATTACTTTTTCCTCGGGCAACGCTCACCGCATGCAAATGTGTACCTCGCAGGGCCTGGTAGCTTTTGTTTTAGCTCTTGAACACTGAAACAAAAGAGCACAATAAACAATTTTAAATTTGCCAATCAATAAGCAATGCAAATTCAAAGGTAAATGGCAAGAAACTTGCTCAGAGACAGCAGGGCAAAAGTGAGGGCGGCGTGTGAGGCGGAAGGATTTTCTTTCTTTCCTGTTCATAATGAGAAGGGTAAAGTACTCTCGACACAGACCAGCCAGCAAGGTTGGTCCTGAGGCTGATGCCAGATGGGCAAGTGGAAAACACACACATGTTGAATAAACACGCGTGCATACCCTGAAAGGGGGTCAGGGCGAAATCGTGATCCTTTAAGGCTTTTGAGAAGCGTCACCTACTCAGATTTCTAATGTCCAGCTTCAGAGACTCAAAGTTGGAATTTCAGAGAATTTTAAGAACTGATTGGCTGAGCTACAGCCTCATGTATTCAAAGCACCATCGTTCTGCCTTTGCCTCCGCTGGGCTTTCCTGGCGTCAACTTCCAAAGGAGAGGGACTGGGCGCTGCCAAGAAATAGGACACCAGGAAGCTGGAGAGATGAATTCAGGGGTTTAGAGCACGAGCTATGCAATCATAGGGTGGGAGTTCCGATCCCCATGTCCACATAACATGTCAGTTGTTCTTGTAGATTCCTGGAACTCTGCCTCCAGGGGTCCCATGCTGTCTTCTGGCCTCCTGGCATGCACAGGCATGCACACACACACACACACACACACACACACACACACACACACAAATATAACATTTTTAAAACAGAAGAGGGAATGGGACACCTTTAGGAACAGGAGGAGAGAAGGGGTGATAAGCGACGATTAAGAAACAAAAAGTGGGGCTGGAGACATGCTTAGCGGTTAAGAGTGCATGCTGCCCTTGCAGAAGACCCAAGTTTGGTGCCCAGCATCCATGCCAGGGGACTAGAGTCCATCTATACCTCCGGCTCCCAGGGATCTTTTGACCTCCTCGGGTACCTGTAGTCACATGCAC